GAGAAAAATCCTTAATGAAGACCTTCGATTAAAGAAGAAGATTCCTAGACTATTCTAACAAGAGCCATATCACCAGTATTAAAAATTTGGAAATTGGATGACAGTAGTGNAGTTGTAGGTCAATTACACGCAAATATTACAAACACTCCACGCGATAAGCGCTAACAGTTTAGCGACAAAGACGGTAATAATACGTAAAAAAGATAATATCCAAAGGTCACGTGACAAATCACACCATTCGTATATTTATATAAGTTAACATTGTTATACGCATTAATTTAATAAACACCAACAGAGAAAACCCTTTTATCAGTTTGAATCACGGTTTTTTAAAATTTTATCATTGGTGACATATCAACAAAGTATTTACAAACGACGTAATATTATGATTATGAATATTCTTGATAACACATTTGCGTTTATTTTGGGGACTTACTCTGCGTCTCATGCTCGAGAAACGTAGAAAACACAAAACATTTAATGAGAATTTTCTTTTGGAAAAAAGTCGCTGAACATTATTAGAATAATAAAATATTAGGCTAAGAAGTAGAAAATAACAGAATCGGTTAGTAAAACAACAGGGATACAATTAAATAAGATCGGGAAGTATAAAAGGACAATAGAAATACTTGGGGTTGTCATACGTCCCGTATATACGGGATTGTTCTTTATTGAAGTATATAATCCCTTATTCTGTTGTATCCCGTTTTCGTCTTGTATTTTTCGAACAAATACATTTCGTATAGGTATGACGTCGGCAGTGGAGAGATATGTTTCAACCAATTTGTGTATTTAAAGGATTATTTAAAAAAAAGTGATTGCGCAGAAATAACTAAAATATCCTATATTAAAGGCAGTCGCAGGTAATTATTTTTTCGCCATCCACTATCGTCACACAGATGTCCCGTATCAGTATGCATGAATCATGGGAACAATAGAAACATTGCTACCTGTAGTAATGTTTTATTACATTTGATTCATCGATATTTTATTCTGTTACGTCTGGGTTGATTAATTTTGAGTTAAACTTATATTATAAAGCCGAAAATTAGAAATAAATATTTTAGTAGTAGTAGTAAATGTTGCCAATTAACGTTTGCGTTATTCTTGAGCATTCGTTTTTTTATAAATAATATAATCACTAAACATAAAGAGAAGAAAAAGAGTGGAGCGCAGTGCCTGTAAAAACGGTACTTTTTGATGAAGCTGATAATTTTTAAAATGTTACACATGGCCCTCATCATTTCCCGAGATTGCCCCTGTGGCCGAGTTGCCTTTGCTGATAACTCTCAAGTCTCCATATAAACAAATAAACTTGTGTCCCCACTTTGTGTATGGTCATCTTGGGCTAGTCAGTTTCCGAGCAGGACGTCTTCAAAACAGGTCAAAACCTGTCCACTACAGGATTGTTTTAAGCAACATCCAAGATGCAGGTGTTAGCGTCTGGTGAACAATACGGGGTCTCTAACCCCAAAAAACAGAACGGCAGGCAAATTGTGACGAGGGTTTATTCAGTATCGGAAATCTTTTGTCTACTTTCTCCTCTTTGAAAGACTATGATTTATGATTTGGTTGCAATTTGAAGGCCAAACCGCTCCTTATTTTAAGTTTAAATACTAAGTAACCTTACGATTAGTTGAACAAGCAAAAACAATTAAAATCACTACTAACTGTAAAAGGCTGGGCTTTTATTTTTTTTTTTTAATTTTGTTCTGCGGACGCCAATTGAAAGAAGAAAGAAGAAAAATTGAAAAATTAACAGAATCGTGGCGCCAACTAACTACCATATAAGTATGTATCACATTATTGACAAATGTAAGTAAATATATTTGCTTAGTTAACATTAATTTCACATTGAGCATATATATATTCTACCCTACTGTCCCTTAACATTGTTATTAAATAAGGTTCGGATCATCCTCTTTATGGAAGCCGATGCCAACTGTCATTCGACCAATGAATCTCTTGTAATAAATAAATCTCTTTAATGGCTTAGTGCTCTCTACCTTCCACTTTAAAATAGACAGACATTATGTCCATCTTCTTAATATAAATAATTGATTCCTCACATTTAAAAGAATAGTTATCCACCTAAGCGTCATTTATAGGTTTTATTTTCTTTTAACTATTAAAAAAATCGAAACACTGCTAGGCAGATGAGTGTCATTAAGAAATGAGGTAGAATCATACATATCTTTTTATCACATCAAGAACATTAACCTCGTTTCGAAGGTGTTTAAAAATATTGCACAATAATTATCGGAAATATCCATGAATATTATTTAGTACTAATCTAATTTAACGTTTTCTGTCTAACGCATACCTTTATGACCAAGTGTGCTCAAGTCAGTTGTTGTCAAATAAAAGAAAATTGTGCAATTGTAAACGCGTTTTTATTTGACCTATAAACAAAAGACTATAGGGACCGTACAGGTAATACGTAAGTAGGTTTTTTTGCAATTATTAACCCCTCCCTCCCTCTCGTCAGAAAAAGTAAGCATAGCTCTTACCCCCCTCCCATGCTTACGTAAACATGGAACATGCATTTTTCAATATGTTCTGGATTCTTTACTGATAGATAAGCAGTAGTTGTATCTGAGAGTGGATTTCCTTTTCAAGCATAGATATGTAAGTAGGGTTGTCATACGTGTTCAAACCAAAATGGACTAAATTTTGTAGAAGATTCCGACTCCCATGTTATCAAAATAAGCAAAGCAAAGACTCCCCGCCCCCCTGTAGTGCTTACGTAACTTGAATGCCTCCAAACACCTAAAGGACTTGGGTAAATGCTACTTAACATTTTACGAATCAAGTTCCATTGGGTAAGGTTACGTTGAGTCTGGTAAGGCTCAAAAAGAAAGCATTTATTTATAAGTCCAATCAACAATTTTAATAAGATATCCTACAGGAGTACATAGGTGTCTGGTCTGTATCGTAGTGATATTAACGTCAATGATTAACGATTTGGGAAAAGTTAGTAAAGTTCGCCCTTTATTCCTTGCTTTCTTTCTTCCATGTGTAAGTCCCGTTGAATCCATGGACTGTGTTCGGATGGTAAAATAGTCTAGTCATAATGCGAACAGGTGTTTGATAGAATAAACTGTGCTAACTGCTGTCGACCGAATCGACGAACTATCTCTGCTCTGTAAACAGAAAATTGAATGTTGACCGGACCTTGGGCCGTTTTTCGTTCAAAACCGGTTCGGAATCAATTTTTTTGTTTAGGTTTATATTGTAAGATGATATTTCACGTGTGCCGTGGAAAGGAAATAAAACAATGTCCTTCTTGGATTTATTGTGGCTATAAGGTCTTGCACCGACTGTCACTGGCGCTGTATATTAAACTGCGGGATATTTTTAGAGCTTCGATAAAATGCTTACGTGCAACTAATATGCGTGACGTAATCGTATTCAAGTCAGAACTAGCGGACGAGGTTGATGCTCCTTCCATGCTTGCTTCGACTTCGGCATAACAACCCGATGCTATACCGCTTCTGATGTGGTCGAACTGTTGCTGCTGCTGCCTTGCTGTTGCTACTACGATACTTACACCACTGCTACTACGATACATAGAGAGCTTCTGGTGTTCCGCGTAACCTATCTCTGTTAACTCAAACTTCGTTCGTCACAATCTTATTCGTATAACTACTTAGGTATCCTTAATCAACGCCACTCAACAGCGTTCATGCCCAAACTCTTATGTGGTAGTGTACGCCAAACATCCATTTGACACTTTAATGAAGAATAACAGTCGGTGTAATATAATAATACAGGAAATCTTTCCATTAATACCTATCCAGAAATCAATTTATTAGATAGGTAATATATGTAGTTCACACTAAAGCTGCAGGAAGGTATTGCGAGCTCAACGTTCTACGCTACGTTGATCAAGGTTTTGGACATTGCGCCTCGTCATGCGAGGTTTGCAATCGCATGTTACTTTTACCTGTCTGTCATTCCAAAGGTTTTTAGATTCGCAATTTCTCGACGATTCAGCGCATGATAGATTACGGAAAGAAACTTAAAATAAGTAAATTATTTATTTGTTTTTAATAAAAAATTTTTCTTTTAACGACTAAGCGTATAAGAATTTTTTTTAAATGATTTCACTTACGATAATGCTTAAATGATAAAAAATTATATCCAATACCTATCAGAAGAAAGGTATTTTAAGTACCTACTGGGATTTTTATAAACATTACATGAAAGGTATATTTAGAAATTATGTACTGTTTTCATTGTCTTTTCAACTATTTTTAAAGAACTATAAGTGCACTTGCATAGGTAGAGTTTGTAGTAATTTACTAAATAGGTAAATGCAAAATTTTAGCAATCTAATTATTTCATTGACGAATACTGAATCCTTAGGTATATGTAAATGTAGATTATAAGTAAATTTGTACGTAATTAGTTTAAAAATGAAACAGAAATTAGGATATCAGAATTTCATCCAAAGTATGTTTTGAAGCAAGCAAAGCAAATTGATATGATGCTGTATAGCAAATTAGTTAATAGCAGTCGGTTACTGTTTTAATCAAGTGACGTCCACAGTCAAGAAAAACCGAAATTTGGTTATTCCACCATTAGCCAAATTTACGCTAGAAATTCAAGCTGTGCCTAGATTGATGTTTTAGGTTTAATGGCATTTACAATTCAATTTGGCGGGATAATGTTCGTATTGTACGTTGTGTTGATCAAAGCAACCTCCCACTCTAGGCTTTTGTCACAGCAAACTTGATCCGATGCTATGCCAAATTAAAAACGCGGGAAAGAAGCGTAATGGTTCATAGTGATGAAGCGGTAGGTATTTTATCGTAACCTAGGATTAAGGGTTGAATTTTTATCAACTACTGAGTTGAGAACCTTGAGTCATCATCAATGTTATGTTAAATACACTTAAAAATTGGACCCAAACAAAGTTGGCGAAACTTGGTTAAGTGTTTATTTAGACTTCCTTAGTCCACGTGGCCAATATTTCGCTTGTGTTTAGGATTTGGCCCGCCCCAATTTATTCCAATTGGTAGACCATTTGAATCCTGCGTTGGTCTGATGCGCAAGAGTAGAACAAGCGTTGCAAGAAGTGCTGTGCATTTTGGAGAGGGACGATTATTCTTTCATGTGTTGTGTTTGCGCGCAGTTGACGCGGCTCAAACCTCGGTCAACAGTGGAACTGGAAGGACGCATCAATACGTCCGTCGTCGCTAAACTTCTGTCGATCGACTTCGTCGTGTGTTGTACGTTATTTCGTAAAATATAAGTGTGACAAGTGTTGGTTCTATAAAGAGAAACATTTGAGTTTGGTGTTTGCCTTTTACAATGGCCATACCATTTGATGTTTCATCAGATGAAAAGCTGGATCAGCTTTTCACTCGTTTGTACGAGATCCTTCAACAGATCTATCATCTCACTCAGCAAACAGCATCAGGACAACAACCCACTATCACCAGAGGTAAGTTGAGATTTGAGCTTTCAATTATTACAAACGCATATAAAGACAGTGTTTGCATAAAGTGTCATTGCGGTCTTCACCGCTTATCTCAAATGAGCAATTGGATTGAAAATCATTTATTCCTGTTGGATGAAGTATGTTGATTTTGTGTAAAATTGAAGAGCCCTTATTCGTGACCTGTTGCTCTCAGCTTTAAGCAGTCGTGGTACAAATTACTCCAACCATTCGCTTGTGAAATATCCGCAACCCGTTGTCGGTCTACAGACAGGTTGGAACATGTTTGAAATATGTGCTTGACATCCTATCCAATATCTGCTTTCTTTCTTAAGTGAATTTATTAGATTGAGAGTTTTGAGCATTGCTTATTGTTGCTTCTTATCGTCCAGAATTAAGCGCACGTGCTAACATATTTCACGCCGTTTTATTTGCGTTTAATTTTGTTTCAGGTTGGTTTAAACTTTTTATCTTCGTATATATTATTTAATATTTTTTCTAGAGCAGGTTAATATTTTATTTTATTTTTAATTTTTAATCCTTTCAGAATAATAATGCACGCATAGTTTTGTAATTTTTTTAAGACGCTCTGCGATTATTATTTTTATTTGCTTTCGCTGAGTGTTTTTTTATTTTTTTATTTTTAATATCAATGCATCACGGATACAATTTTTGGGGCCCGTGTGTGTTGAATAAATTTATTTATGGCGTCTGCCAAAGGTAGATACTACATGTATTAATACTTATGCTTTGCTAAATTTAATTTACGAACCACCTGCGCAATTGACTTTTTCCCTTATCGATGAACTATATGTATAGCAGATATGTCCAGTAGTGGCGTTCTCGGACTATTTAATTTGATGAGTAATTTTCTTCACGCATAAATTACTTGGAGTCGGTGAAAACTTGACTGTAAAATTTTTAATAATTTATTGTGGAAATAAGGAGTACTTTGTATTAAATCTTTTTTTTTGTATAATTTGGGCGTAGCTTTTTTTCTGTGCCATTTTGCCCGTGCCATTAAATATACTATATATATCCAGTTATATCGCAAATTTTCTGTTATTATTTAGGCAACATAAGCTGTCATTAATATTAATCAATTGCTTTAGTAGATAAACAGGGCGTAAAAGTGCCCAAATGATAAAAACATAAAGAGAATGATTGTATTTCATCTGAAATAGTATCTATTAAACATCGACAGTAAGGTACTGATTAGTGATGTTACTGTTTATGAACAAATGGAGATGTTTCGATTACGATGAAACTGACGGAGTAACAAAAAATGCAATACCTATGTCGCTTTTTTTTCGTTAGATTCGAACGGCAATTTGAATGCCGTAAATCTTTTGTTTCAGTTCGTTGTTCAGCTGGTGCGTCTCGACATATTCAGGATCACCAGATTCATTCAAGTTATCCTGCAGTATTGCCAGAGATAGTAAACGATCTGGCCCTCCTGCCCCGTCCGTCGGCTCAATATCTGGAAGGTGAAGCCGTTCTACAGCCCCAGGCCATGCCGACACCTCGACGCCGTAAGCGTCGTCGAACCAGCTCAAAATCTTGTTGCGATGCGAACAAGTCCGTTGAAGCAGCAACCGTCGAAGATGATGGCCACCAGGTATGGACCCAAGTAGGAATGCCGCTTTTGAAAATGGCAAAAGATTTCGACCCGTCTGAACAACAGTTTACCTGCAAGGTTAGTCTTTCGTTTCTAACAAAAAATTGTCATTTCTTCTTCCAATTAATCAAGAACCAAAACGCATCACGTATTTCGTTAATTTTTTATAGCCACTATGTCGATATATAGGCTTATCTTGATTATTGTTATCGACAGACAACAAAATAAAGTTAAACGTTATCCTTGTTCCAAGGACGTAAGCAAAATTTTTGCTCAATAATATTACTCGAATGAATTCAGACTGAAAAATTGATGGTCAATATCAAAGGACTGATTTAAAACCTACAGACGGCGTTATAAAACAGTTATTAGTTCTTTAAATGCTTACCATTGTTCTGGAATATGCAAGGCTTCGCTAGAATGTGAATAAACATGCAAACAATCGAACAACACGTGAGAAAGTTGATGTATTGGTTGCAAGAAGTAGGCGTTAAATAATTCACTATGTAGTTTAAGTGTTTTTCAATCAATTACTATTACTTACGAGAGACGTGCCTTTAGAAAAGACATGTTTAAAAGTCCACTATGTATATATACAGGTCGGACAATCTCTTATCCTACTGTTGATATAAACAAAGAGTTTGCTGGATTTGAAGCAATAGAAGTTTTGACGATTTTAAATCAATTTTTGTAGCGATTGTGTTGAGGTGATGCCCTTTATAATAATCGAAATTGGTCCACCCTGTAATTGCGCACACATTACTGATCATATCCAAGTGCATTTTGGCCTTGGTTTGGTCTACCACATTATAGATACGGCAAGCGAAATTATATTTAGCACTTTGTTTTGCACTACACGTTCAGGGTTTTCTTTGTTACAGATTAATTTTAGACATGTAACGTTACACGTTATCGTCTTTTGTACACTTCTTTGCAATCTAACTACTCCAGTGATATGTCATTCATTGTTCTAATACAAAAAATATTATTTATCATAACCACTTTCATTAGAAAATACCGATATCAAGTTAGACCAAAATGATTTCGGTTTTAGCGATATACCGAATGATGTATGAATACGCATAAATTGGCATTTTTTTGAGCACCCTTATAAAGGTTTGTTTGGTATTTGCCAAACGCAACCCCTACGCATTTGTACGTTCCCATTTTTACTCTAATAAAGATTCAGTTAGTTTGTTTGTTTGTAATTTTTATTTTTATTGTTGCAGGAGAAAAATGATGATGAAGTAACCGGTGCCAAGGAAGATTCTTGCCAGTCCGAAAGTATTTTTTCGAAATTGGTTCCTGACCTTTCGAGCAAATCCATTTGGACGGCGGTGATCTGCGTGGTGGGGTGGCATCTTTTAAGGACTCGGTAATTTGTTCGTCCGATAAAAAATGCACAAATCATCCAAAGCTGTAGCGATTTCTGCGGACAAGGCCGCTAGAGAAATCCAGTGATGTTGTAAATAAAGTATAGTGTTTGTTTATTTTGATAAGGAAGATATTGGCATTAGAGAGATGGGCAAAATTTGATTGTTTTTTGTTTTGATTTGTGCTTGTGAAGCGTTATTTATAAGAAGCGAATCCAGAGAATTTTAAATAATTATGTATATTATTATGGTTCAGTGTTTCAAAGGTATTTCTTCCAAAGAACACGAAGCTAATCAAATAATTGATCTCATTCTGTAAGAGCGACTGGACAAAATGCCCTATTCAGTCCTCGTTCTCAGGTATTTTATGGTTAGAATAATTTGAGTTTTTGATTGAAAAAGGATAGTTTTATTTTGTAAATGGTGTAAATAACGAAGCAAAGTTGGATTCAGTATAGCCAAAGATAGAATTGTGCCAAGCAGGTGGGCGGGACCGTCCTACGTTCGCTTTCGCTACCATGAGTCTGACTTACATTCTTTTCCCTTCTTTTGTATAGTAAACGGTGCAAGTTTTCGTACTGCCCTATTGGTTTTCCACATGATCTCTAGCTAGATTAGTGCGGTGCGGTAACAGAAGTGACGATTTTTGCTTTTAAATAGACCGAGAATAAGAAATTAATAATATTAGTAGACATCTATTGTTTTAAAAAACTTATTCCAATATACGTATACATATAATTCATAAATATTATATTTTTATCCATTTGTATCTATTTTTCATATTTATGTAGTACAATACGTTAAGTATTAATACAAATTTTATTTAATTATGCAATGTTCCACGAAAAGTCCCCCGTTTATGTTTAATTTACTTTTTTGTTAGGCTATTGTAACTATGTAGTAATTTATTTGTTGCAGTAAGGGCTAACGTGTTCTATAAATGCATACATACATTCCAATAAAAAATATGGGATTTTTGTACCTGACGCTTACTTTGACGTTTATTTTATAGCAGTCTCGGTAAAAATAAATTGTTTATTAATTATTTTGGCTTGGTAATAAAGTATAAATCGTCACTATTGTTCGGTGAAAGCTTTTGACCCCGCACCTCAAATGTATATAGTTGTAAGGGGGGGCTGAAACGAATCAAATGCCGGGGTGATAAATTCCAAAAAGTAATAGATGAAAACAGTTCTTCGCCTTGGCATATTTTCGTTTCGATATCCATTGGCTACAACTTGCATGTTGATAGCTTATAATTACTTTTTTTATATATGTATTTTGTATAGGATTCGTAAATGTATATAAATATAGTCGCCGATATTTTTAAAGAAAATTAAAGCAATTCGATAGGAATAGTAGAATAGTAATTATTAAGTAGCCTATAGGAAAACTGCATCTGTGTAGGTCGCTCTTCAAAGCGTTTCTGTGATTTGCCGAAGAGTTAAATCCTGTTTATTGATCTCTGAAAAAACATTTCTAACCGAATGTTTTCGTTATAGTTTTTGTTCCCTAGTCAGTATAGTCGTTTTGTTTTTAGCTATGACTAGAGGTTTTTCTAATATTTTGCTCGTGTTATTTGTTTTATTATTTTATAGATGTGTATGCCATAAGGACTGCAAACGTTTTCATTTATAGTCTTATTTTTTTTTGCCTTGTACATTACCTAAGCTGGACCAATTCGTGATATGCGCCATCGGCTGACCAATATATCAAACCGTTTAGAATTGCTTCTGATGTATTATATTATTTCAGATATAAATGTCATAAGTTTTATAAGTGTTTATAATATAATATTATAATCATTATTATATTTTTGTGAGGCGTGCCCCTTGCGTACAGTGCACGGCCTATTGTCATGCCCACTGTCTCTGCTACCGACAGTCTTTCAGTGAGTTGTAGAATTTTACACTTTTATATACACATTGATTTTAAAAAATAAATGTAAACTTTACTAAAGGCTTTTATTCTAATTCCGCCCCTCTAATGAAGCCCTTGTTTTAGTACTTATTACCTATATGTTTAAAACCTAGATATAAATTGAGGTTAGGTAACTTATAAAAACCTTTTGCAGATACATTTTTACTTTAAAAGGTGATAAAATGTCTTGAATAAACTTGTAATAAACATTATAAACTTACGTTAGTTTATTGTATCATCATCTCAATTGCAGTTGATACATACAGCCATCAAGCACCAAATTTCAAATTTAAATGTATTTACCGCACTGCTCATTACGCTGTACTCATTTACACTATATTTGGAAGTTATCTAACACATCACATCTTCACAATTGTGCATATTTTTCACAAAATCTCAAAAATAATGATCGCGGATCCTACGCCCTGCGAAAGGAAATTTATAACCGAAACTAATATGGCCGACCTCATTGTTGAATTTAAAAGTTTGAATAGAAGTCTTCGAGTAGTGAATTGAACCTTTTTTTTAATGGAAATTACAATTCAAGAAAAAATATTCAAATGCAGTTTATAGGTAAGTGAAAATTTTATGTTTGATGTACGATTTTTTAAATGTTTTGAAATACGTACTATTTTCTGAAAAAATAGATATATGCGAATATAATAACACTTTTTTTTTTAAAATTGTATAAATTACTTGTGGTTTATTACATTGTTTATATACGATTGTATATCATTTCAATTTTCTTCGATAAGAAGGAAACGTTCTTATATTTTCTTTTCAAAAGAGCAATTTGTCCCTAATTTATGGTTACATAGGCAACCAATATTGCAACTTTAATTATGTAATAATAGTATGTATAATTAAAATGCTAAATAACCGATTTAAAGAATTACACCGAGTAAAATTTCCTGACTGGATATGTTTAAAAATGATAAATCTTAATTTAAATCAATTTACATTGATGCATATACCTAAACTTAGGTGATATTTAAAATAAAATCCGATACAGTTTTCTGATACTTTACATGCAGTAGATTACAAAAAAAAATTAGAGTTTTAAAATGATTGCTAAACACCGTGTTTATGTTAGGGAAAGCGGTAAGAGTGTAGAAATAGCAACTGAACTTTTGGCCAAAAACAATTTCCTAGAGTATTATAAAATAAGTAACGTTTTGGAATGAAGTCGGCCGTTATTGTTTCATGCAACTTTGGTTTTGTATACATACTTATATGGTCCTCAAGGTAACCACCATTCCTCCATCCCATAAATACAGTTGTATTGAATAACGTACCGTTAAGTGGTGAAACGAATACAGGTGTTGGAACAGTCGTCTGTTTCTAAACAACCAACCCACCACTCAGCTTATATTAAAAAACCATAGCGGAGTGGAGAATGGGATAGGTTGGAAATTGAGGAAGACTGTGCAGTTGTAAGTCCTTTTTCATAAAGTCTCCGAATTTTATAAAATGCCTCATTTCTACCTATACATATTTGTGTTACGATTTTCTTTTTCTAAATTTCTTTTTGTTAATTTTTGAGAAGTACTTAAAAGTTTATTCAAAACCAAGGTTTAATCTAAATAGATTTTCGAGATTATAGAGATATTTCGGACAAATGTAATTTCTAACTTTCACATAACTTTATATTTATTTGAGAAAAATCCTTAATGAAGACCTTCGATTAAAGAAGAAGATTCCTAGACTATTCTAACAAGAGCCATATCACCAGTATTAAAAATTTGGAAATTGGATGACAGTAGTGAGAAAGTAGAACTTTAGCACTTTAAGATAAGCCACTGTGAAAGGTTCTGCTTTTTCATCCAACGAAAATTTTATAGTAAAAGGGTGGTTAATCTTAAACAAGAAGACTTGTCAAAAACGTCACGCAAAGGGTTAATAGAAACCAAAATACTTATACAATTGCTCATTTATAGTTGACATATGCAAACATAGTGCATTTGACTGTTACAAAATACCAATCTCAATCATCCTAGTATTCCAGGGAAGTAGTATAACCCTTTCGCGTGCTTCTGCTTCTGATTGCTATGTAAATATAAATGCCAGCAATTAGGAGCACACATACTTAAGTGTTTAACTTAATCAAACACCACCGAGGGTACAATCGTACGGCTCTCCATCAGCAACTTACCCCATCTTGTCTCGCCAACATATCAGTTACTCGTCCAATTATTATTTAAATTCATAAATTGATATTGGTTTTTGGAAAGCAAATGTCTGTCTTTTTGGTATACAGTTTATCGTTAAATCTGTATTTTTTATACGCATGTAGAGATTGTATTAACGCTTGTTGATTTATGAAGATAAATTTTATCGGAAATTGGACTTAAACGTATCGCACGAACAGAAAAATTACCTGTGCACGAAGCAGTGATATTATCTACCCTGTAAGTGATATTTTAGTACAATAGATATACCGATTACGATTTTCTAAAAACGATGGAAGGTAATAAAACGTCATAATTCAAGCTGAGGTAGATATTTCTTTTTTTTCTCCTTCCGTCCACCTAAAACCTAATCAGTTTGATTGCCATGCAAGGTGTTATAAATCAACGGTTTTGTTACCACGCTATTTTTTCCCGTACGATGATTTCGGCGATAAAAGGACACTAATTCTTCCGACGTTAACAAATTGTTTGATTTTATATAACAATGCGCAGCTCTGTGAGAATAATGTTGTTCGAATTAGTTTTCCTTGGTTCAAGTCACACAACTGTTGACGCCATGCTTTTCCTACCTTGAAATAGATTAGATATGTGCGACACACACTATTAGGTAAATAATGTCAAAAAAAGCCCTCGCAAATGAACGACTTTCTACTACCACCCTCTATTAACGTCAAATCGCTCACGTACCCATTGTTGTATTTTTCATTTAAAAAGAACTGTTACTTTTGAGAAAAGCAAACTAAGGAAAAACTTTTGCTGCAATTTTATGGTATGTTTAAAATTAAGTGGTTTATTTAAATAATTTTAAATACAACTGGAGATAAATTCAATTCTCACCGTTTTCTCATTCACTCATTCCAACGAATACTATGATCTTCAGAAGGTCTTTAGTCACTTCGTCTTCTCTTGAGCCAATCTTCTCATTGCTCAATAATTAGAGCAATCTAACACATCTTTAACTATTGACGAACAGTAACTAGCCAAACTAGTCCTTTATTTCTGAAAAGGATTCCTACTAACTTATTTCGCCTATTTCTTATTCATATCTCCACTGGAAGCAATAATTTTTCGTTTAGTCTTGCGTATTTGGTCTTGATATTGCATTCTCGCAAGACCAAAGCCAAGACTATAAGAACTAGACCAATATTGCTCATCACTAGTTTTGATATAGTGGCGCGTTTAAGTAGTTCATTGTTTTGAAGTATAACTGCAGTTAAAAAGGATCTGAGGAAGGGAATGACATCAGCAGGGTAGCTATACTTGAGGCGTGAAATTAATAACAATTACTAGTAAAATGAGCTGTCAATTCGAGGGTTGGGGGCGCAACATTCTGACATGTATTGCTTTAGTTGCCTGGAATTGTCACACAAAACATTCCCTTCGAAATGAAAATGATTATCTTGAAACTGGTAAATGTTTCCAAAAACTAAACGGCGATAACTTATTAACATTTGTTGACACCCTGTATACAAAAGAAAGGGCAGATTCATTGTTCGAAATGTGCAATCTGTAATGGATAAATATATCATTTAGATTGGATGTGTTAGTCGTCAGTGATAGCGAATGTCACTATTCCTTGGTTAACCCAAGTTGTAATCTGAATCATGATGTTGACATTAAGCCCCGTAGTAATCCGTCACAGCAGAACGCCAAATACTTTTTTAACTTTACAAAAGGGGGAAGAGGCGAAGTGAGATAATGTTTCGGATTGACACCGGTTTCAATTCCATTTAGATTATGCGGATGGCAGAATTTCAACCCTCGAATTCTTAAATCCCATGCCCAAATTAATTCGATCTCGATTCGTTCGGCCACCGGAAATCGTATTTGTCTTTTCAAAAAAGGTATTTTGAATTTTAATAACATTTCTCTCCATCGCGTGGAAACTGTTTTAGGGTTTCGTAACTCGAAAAGGGTAAAACGATGAAGAACCTGTTTGACGTGCACACACTTACAGGGTTCTGTAACCGTTTACCAATTGCGACCTAAATTACTCGTAAATTAACAATTTTAGCAGTGTTAACAGTTATTGTAAAAAGAATAGGTAGATCTGATGCGAAAAATACAACTTTTGATTAAGTTTATAATTTCGTATCCAACCCATATTGGATCAGTATTTTCATTATTATTCCAAAATGTGGCTGTAAGTGAAACGAGAAAGCTCAATATTATTATCTTTTGTAAATTTCTGAGATTATTGCATCTAAAACTGTTAAAAATAACATTATGGTTTTATTATATCGTTTATCTAAACCTTGCCGAAAAACTCAACTAGAAGTTTTTGTAGTCCTAGGAAGTTTTAGATTTTGTGAAGGTTTCCTGTCTGAGAGCTTTATTTGCCCTTAGTCTATTGAAAGAAAAAAAAGGTGGAAATCGTTTATTTTAATTAAATAAAAACTTTACTCATGTAGGAAATGTCAGCATGTTTTCTATGGTAGTAGATTCGGATTATTAATGTATTGGTAAAAGATAAGCAACTTTAATTTTCGCCTAAATCGACCCCTTGCCAGTCACGTGTCGAAAACAGAACCCTGATTGGATGAGGGTTTGAAGTTTATGAGGCAATGATGCATCATGCGCTGTTTTCTGTCATGTATTACACACACATCAGCTGCTCTCAGCTGAAAAATTAAATCCATCTTTTTTTTAAATTGCTTTTTCATGTTATTTGAATCGTTATAATAAACAAAAACAATACATTTAGGCATTTCGTAATTTTGTAACGGTTAATATACATCGATAAGAAGTTTTATAATAAAATCCATGAACTTAATTTTAATTTTTATTCCTAGGGGTCGTTAAAGCAGTTTGAAGGATGAAGGGGGGTACTTTACGGGACACAAATGATATCATTTAGGTAAAAATGACTACTTGGGTCTTGCGTAACGCTTAAGGAAGAGGGGGCTGAGGCGAAACGTTATGTCATGCTACAGGGGGGAGGGGGATGAAAATATACAGAAACTTAATATTTGTAAGGTCTGTTTATGGTAAACTATTGTGGTACATTACGTAAGTGCATATCTCACGTTGATGTTCAGAAGTATTTTGAAATGACAAATCGGGTCGTTCTTGCATGGGCTTCATTAAAATGGTATTTTATTCGAGCCGATGATGGATGTCACCCACGGTCACGTGTCTATTAACAATGGGAGTTTGCTATCTGATGCCATTACGCGTGAACATGTTTTTGTTCAATACGAATTCACCCGCAAGGAATATATTTATTATAGAGATTGATTCGCGCCTTCGTCTTCGATAATCTTTATCGAAGGGGGGTGACAATTAATAAACGCCGCGTGGCGTCACCCCGCAAATCCTACTACACAAACTACCACATTTTCGACATCATCAAACAATTGATTTTTATTAAACAAAAAGATAAATTACATATGATGCCTTGAAATAAGAGAGCGACTATAATTTTTATCCGTATGCACTTATGTTACACCAACTTCGCCAATTGTGAACTGATTTTAATCATTTTTTTTTATTGGATGTTGGAGCCAAAACTGGAAAATTAGATGATGATAATAAAATAGTTAGAAAAATTAACGCAAGCTTTCGTTGACCTACCTATCGTATACCTACAAACCTACATGCAGCTATAGAACTTATTAAAAAAGAAAAATTTTTTTAGGTTACCGTAAAAACCCGATGTCGTCAGTTAAAACACGACTTGTCTAGGGAAAACCAGTTTTAACATTCTTCTTTAGTCAATTCTACCTTTGATTAGGTAAAACTAGAATTATTACATATTCCCGGTTCATTCTAGATATGACTAGACTTATTTTGGTTAAAACCAGCTTTAGGACATTGAAGTTCAGTAAATTCTAGGTTTAACTTAATGGTTGTAGTTAATACAGTTCCGCGATCTCAGAGCATGAATTTCAACTGGACGGTTTCACAGTATTTTTCAAATTTTTTAATAAAACGGGATGTTTTGAGATTGGAATCCTTAAACTCAGAACTACCCTCGCCTGTGTGTTTCACAGCCCCCGAAACTCCTTTTCCATCTTAGAACTCTGGGGTGCATTTCCGAACGAAGACGTGATATCTGACAAGTTACGAGCCTAAAAATCACAGTTTGACAAAAATTTTTGTAAAAACTTACGATTTGTAAGCTTATGATGGGAAAAGACAACATACAAGAAGTAAAAAAATATATAATTAAACCTATTAATTTCCCCTATCCATCTATAAAAATTGTTGACCAAAAGAAATAAACCTGTACAATTTGTTATGATAAGGTAAGGAATCCCTGGTGCATGAATCAAGCTTGCAATTGTCCGGTATTTTTATTATCAAGAGGTAAGACGAGCTTTGAGTGGTATTAATAAGGAAAAATTTAAAAATAATTGAAATTTGAAGGGTGGTGAACAGAGATGAAAAGCATTAGCGGGAATTTTCGAGTAACATTGCATTCTGGCCTAGTGGATTGTATGGAATTAATTGCGAGACGGAAGAGGGTGACATCGGACGTGTTAGATGCACTTTGAAGTTGATGTCAGTCAAAGCATGCTTTGTTATTCGCTACTTATTATTACGTTCGTTTAAGCCTTTAAGGCTCTCTATATGCGGTGCCAGTTATGATTTCCCGCGTTTTAATTATCAGGAAACCTTTGAGATTTTCGAACCGTTACAAAGAGCTTTATTGCAGTCGCCACAATTCCTTTTTTTGTCGCGGCCGCCATCTTGATTTTAACATTCATTTCGAAAAGGCAAAACACTCCTTTGATGTCTCATTTTTTTTTATTCACAATACTTAAACTTCTTTCCAACTGCGTGCAAATTTTCAATACTCCTCTAGTTAATAATTCAAAGCACTTGTTAAAATCTGAAAACGACTCACTCGGAATGTGTTGTTTGGAGTTTGTAAACTGCCATTATTTCAGAAATTACGTTTTCACTCTTTTTTTTTTAAAGGAAACAACGAGTTTTTGATGTGTAAAATTTATCGGTATAATAAACTACCTTTTGTGACTTTTAAGTAACTTTACAAAATGTAGACTTTATAGCTAATTATTGTACCTTGTAAATGTCATTTAGTTTGAAATGCTGGGTACAAAATTCCATTTTTGCCCAAGGATATAAAATCGTTGTTTTCAGACCTCTGTTATATATTATGGTTGTAGGTATTGCTAGGAGTTGACACTCCGAATTTTGAATTCTCTTTTCTAGGGATATTTCTGTAGATCTCGATAAGATGCGCTGATGGTTATGTGTTTTTAATAATAAAATTAAAAAAATGTTGCACGCTACATTCTATTATCGTTGAAAAAGAGTTGCGACACCTATAAGAACGATAAGAAATAAAAATCGCTAAAGTTCTGGATGATTTTTGCAAGCAGTTCTGTAAGAAAGAGAAAATTTTAAAAATTTTGAGAAATTCCTTTTTTAAGTATTGGTTGGAGGGCTAGGCACTCCCTACAGAGTTGCATCAAAAATTCACCTTGTTGTTTCACGAGATCCCGAATGTTTTGAAGTTAATTGAAAAATAGGGTCAATAAAGATTGATTTCGTGGCTTCAAAATATTTTAGCGTCGAATTTAGACTAATGATAAGAGTGCAAATGCGTATATAGTGGTTCTGAGCAGAACTACTCCAGTTTGTGTATTTTTGACGTTAGAAGCTATATTTTCACCTTAGAACGCCACGGTGCTAGACATTTTCCGATCAAACAGTGATTTTTAGGATTGCAATTTGCCAAATATTCCGTTGTCGTTCGTAAAAATGATAAGCACCCCGGAGTTCCAGGATTGAAAAAGAGTTCCGGGGGTATGAAACACTACTTCTATGATTATGATTATTAACATTTTTGGGTCTAAGCGACAACAGAAAAACGAATTCGTCTATGAACTTATTTTATTACTACATTGCAGTCAATAATTAATATTTATAAAAGCGTTGGCACATAAGATAAAACTATACGGCTATTTACAATTTTGGTTTCAAATTTTCAGTAGAGAAACCTTATTTTGACCTTTCGTCTACATATAGAATATTTTGCAATCATCACTTTTAAAATTGCCTAATTCACCACGAAATCTTAGAAATTGAACTTGAACCGTTTAAAAATTGCTCATTATAATCACATTATGCAACATTCATTGACTTGACTCACGTTAGAAATGTTAATTACAATGTAATACTTCTGCAATCGGCCATTGAGTAATTGCTAATGGGAAATTTTAAACGGGCACTAGACATTAACTACATAATTAATAATTTATAAACAATATTCTATCGTCAGACATTAATCTTTACACGCACGTCCTCGTTTCGCTAAGCCATTGCAGAATTTCGGAGAAGCGACTATATCCCCTAAAAATACACTGAGAAGATAAAATTCCTTTTGTTTTTCCGCTGAAGTCTTATAATTGCTGAAAACAAATATACAAATTAATAAATAAATATAAATTGATTCGTACAAACTTTTTGCGTTTACCTGAATATTTCACCCCAGTCTAGTTGATAGTCTCTAGTTGATTTCGTTTTTATGGCTTTTCCAGCGTGGTATAAGCAAACCCTTGTGTAAATACAAACATTTTCTCCCAACTCTGACACCAGTCTTCTCTCAGCTTCGTCCAGATCTATTAATTCTTCTTCATTTTCTTCTACTGAGATGGATCTTCTAACTCTTCCAGTATACGTTTCTGTGACAAAGACGGATAATTGTTTTCAATTTAAATAAATAATTGATTATTTAGGACATAGTGAAAATTTTAGACAAGCTATTAGTCGGCACTCAACCGTTGCCTTTTCACTTTTCCTTAGCGGAATTGTACACACACACATATATATATATACATGCACAATCATATACATATATATGCCGTCAGATTCTCTTTTGGCTTTTTTCTGAGGCAACATTCACTACTATAATATGAGAACCTAGTTGCCTCTTTCAAGGCTGAATTTGTGTTTGTTTGCAAAAGTTAGATTCAGTTCAAAAACCCTAACAGTTTCTACATGTTGTATGTAAGCACGCTTAGCGGGGCGTTAACAAAACACTGTATAAAAAATGCAGTTTACTATTTTAATGTACCTACCTTGTATATATATGTTACAAGTTGGTACACATACATACTTTAGCACACGTAAAAGTTTCATGGCCAGTTTAACAGAAAAACGACTTTATAGTAATTTAAACAAACCCTTTAAGTTTGCAATAACAAATAATTTGTTAAGTGTATCAGAAAAAATATTTTTAAAAGATTTATCTAAATAAATGTTAGTTATACGTGGGTACTACAATGACATCGTATCATCATGCCCAGACATTTATTGTTTTATGATGAAACTTTGATGTCTTCAATTTAAGTATCTATTAAAAAATAACATTTAACAATTTCTTAAATCAATATTGAAATAAATGACGGATCAACGGGAAGGGAGTTTCGGGTTTGGGCCCCATTCCGAATTAATACAAAAAGGGTCTCAAAAATATGCCTATTAAAAATTGTCTTGATTCGAAAAAAAAAATTAGCAGCTGTTTTTGTGAATCCTGTCATTCTTAAAATCCGTGATTGAAATGTAAGTATGACACTTGCAAGCCTTATTAATTACTTAAGTTTGAGCGACTTGATCCGCGTGATACAATTTCTAAAACAGAAGTGGCCTAGATTGCTTCTGATGTCTGTAAAGTTCAATCAAAATCGGTACACCCGTTTCAAGAATTAGCCCGTACAGACATCAAAAATATTTTTAAGGATCTCTTGTATTGTAGTAGCATTTAAATCACCATATGAACTTAAAAAAAAGCAGTTATTTCAATATTACAAGCAGAAAATTCAATTTTATTTATTTTCGGCCCTTTGAATTCAAATGCAGCGCAATTAAGACTCTTATTTCAGAAGTTACCGGTCTAATTAAAACTGAAAGATTACACGTACTTATAGGCCTACTTAAATGGTTTAGTTTACTTACTTGGGTTTAAGGAGTAGGCCAGTTTTTTAACGAAGTTGGACAGTTTGACGGCTACGATGATAACAGGGAATCCCACGAGTTCAACCGGAAGATCTATAGCTGGTGTCTGTTGACTTTTAACATTTAAGCCCTGTTCTAAAAGTATCAAAACACTGGCAAGCGACGCACACAGTACAAGAGTCTGAGATTTCATGTTGAAACGTTCGTGAAGTACTCCGAAAGTGAAAATATCGCTGGTCTTGCACTTCAAATCAACTTTATCAAAGTGAAAGTGTTATGGCCACCACCACTTCACCAACACCACACCGTATGGTGCTTTACCTTACTTATTGCATCCACTTATCGAACAGGTACCTATAACCTTTGTTTGCATTCAACCATGTTAATATTATTAATTAATTGTAATAGGTAACGCGATGGCTCCTGAAAATTAATTACTTGCTATTTGTGATGTAATTAAGGTACAGGTAGTAATGTTACGCATATACAGGAAATGTGTAATGGAAACTATAAACGGATGTGTGTATTTCACTTTTACAAAATTGGTATCGAATTTTACTTACTTTCGTGTAATAATGCACGTCGATATCACAAGATAATTTATTGTCCGAAATGCATCATAAATACTCAATTAAATCAAGTGCATCAACTTATTAATTTTTAGAGTTTTCTCAAATGAAAAACCTAACAGAAACCGTTTGATGTATAAATATGTGACAAACTAATACGTTACATTGGCAAACTTACTTTTCAATATCTACATATTTAAGTATTAATAATTTATCATTGAAAAGGGCTAATGCATAGGTACTTATCAGAATCCTCAACAGTTTATGTTGAGACAATAATTTTCATGTTTCGGGCATAAGTCATAAGCCTACAGTAAAGTCGTATGAATCGCGTGCTTTTACTACAGTTCTGGTCGAACAGTAATTTTTAGGCTTGTAATTTGTCAGATGTCTCGCCTTCTTTCGGAAAATGACCAACACCCCAGAGTTCTAAGATGGAAAAGGAGTTCAGGGGGCTGTAAAATATATATTCGAGAGTAGTTCTATTTAGGACTACTGTGAAAACTCCGGATTCCTACTAAGTATATAGTAATTTTTAGAGTGTTGTAACTCCACAAATATTCCGATTTGGTCAAACAATAACCAGCACCCCGGAGGTCTCAGTCTAGGGTAAAAAAAGAGTTCCATGTGTGTGAAATAGTCAGTCAGGGGTTGTTCTAGCAAGAGCGGTTGTAAAAACTTTGTAGGCTTAACTCGCTGAATATCCTGTTTTAGGTAGAAAAATAGCACCCCCGAATTCTAGTGTGGAAATATAACTCTTGTGGTAAATTTGCATTATCTAGAATTTTAAAATTTTTAGGAATAATTTGATTGTGTTAATATGGTATCCAATTTGATTTCTCAGCAACACAAGAGTAGATACTGAAGGATGTAATCCATAAGTCATACCTCCCTGAGAAGGGATTTCTCCCATCGCTCCCAGTCCCGCCGTTAGTTCTACGCATGTAACGACTATTCCATAATAATATTCAAGAGTCAAAAGATCTTTACGTGTAAACTTAACCAGTTTTGACGAGTTTTCGTGGAAAAGTAGCGCAAGTCAGTAGGCGCCTTATTAATTATGTGTTGTGTTGTGTTGTGTATTGTGGTATATGTTTGTGTAGACATTTACTCAATACCAAAACTGATATAAATAAATAAAATAAATTGAATTTACTTCAAGATATTGAATTTGCTACTTGAACTTCAAGTTTTTAATATTTAAGGTACCAACTTTCAGACTGGATTGTGGTAGAATGGTTGACGTTGCTTTAGAAACAAGTATCATTTATTTAGGCAAATTTTTATTTCAAATGATGTAGTTTTAGGTGCTAATGGCATTTCCTTCGTCTATAGGGGTGTCCGAGATTCGTATGTTAGGGGTCGCCTCAGTAAGTCAAATTCGTTGAATATGTCAAATCCGGTACGAAAATGCTGACTTACAATTAGACACCAAAGCTTGGGGGTGTCACACTTTCACATTCCTATGTAGGTAGGCCCCTGTCTTCCCCCCTTTTCAATTGATATATGTGTTGGAAATTTATATCAGTAGCGTATTGCCTGCAAAACTCCGTGAAGGCATTTTACAATTTTTAAGATATTTTATTAACAGCAGATTGTTTTTAATGGCGCGGCCAGTGGAAGAAAAATTTCCGTTTGACTTTTAAGAGTTCTTGGGGTGGGTTTTGTTCGGTTATTGGCTCGGTAAAAGTGGACATGTTTCACAAGCCTTCATGAGGTCTAATGAGAGAGGTCGAATCTTAACGGAACGTAATCCTTATGGGCGGCGAAAAATTAAACGGAATTAACTGGTGTCAAAGTGCATTCCGCATTTCTGAAATATGACCATGTTCGAGTACGAGCGCAGTTATTTTTTTAATTGAAGTGCTCGTCGCCATCTCCAAATAATAAACGTTCTTTTCTTTCTTTTTTTGTTTTCTGATTTTTTCGTCCAGCCAATTTGCGTGTGGTCGTAACCACGGCCTGGGTCCTGCATTAATCATATTGTATTGGTTCGTAAAATTTGCAAATAGAGACATTTGGAAATGGCCGTTCACAAAAGTTTAATGGTTACTGCTTTTATTTACGACTTCACATGGAAATGAGCGCGCGTGTATTAACGTTAGCCGAGACTTTACGCCTTTTTTTCTGCACATGGTAACGTTGTGAAATATTGGTATAATGAGCGGTCAGCTTTCTTTAAAATGCTTACATTATGCGACAAATAAGCGTCAGTTCGTTTCCGAACGCTGTTTAGAATTGCCTCTAATTTTACCTCTTTCACTGCTGCGTACTCGTAACAAACTAAGTTAAATATCCTACCTGCTCATTTCGAAATGTTCTTTCGTCGGTAAAAACTTGGAAACAACGTGAACACCTATCCGACGTTATTACGGATATTTTTACAGTAGGTAGGTACTATAATAAGGATAACTGGAACAGGTTAATAACTTCTTGGAATAAACAACTCAAAGATATCGGGGAAACAGAAATATATATATATATCAATATTTAGGTAATATTCTGACAACTATAACATTTTAAGCGAATACATATTATGTAGTTTAGATTTAACTGACTAGTTTAAGACTAGCATTATATCGAAAATACAAAAGCATAAATGTGTATTAGGTGTTTTCATATTACATATTTCCTTATTATCTAAATGTAATTAAATTTTATCATCTTCGTAATAGTCTTGTTTTTCTTCCCGCCGAGATCATCTTCGGATTAAATTTTTAGTAAGTGGACGTCAGAAAACGGGAAAACTCGTCTGATGTATGCATTTAATTTGAGTTTCTTTCCCAAATGTCCCTTTTAAATTCCCTCTAATTCCCTTTGCAGCCTTCAGCTTTCCCAAAACAATTATGCTTTACTTTTAATTTGAATTCGTTTGCTTTGGCTTCGTTATTCCATTTCTACATCGCGAACTCACAGTTTTCAGCGCATTCGAACTTTTTTTATCATTTGTAGCACTTTCAACCCCGGGAATGGACAAGTAGGGTAAAAGTTATGACATCCATTACCATCTACGCCGGATATTAACTGGCCCATGTGAGCAGCAAAGTGGTACTTCGATGTTAATTCAGCAGTTGTTGAAACCGATGTATCTCTAAAAAGTTCAGGATAACGTTAAAAGTAGAAGATGAAACGGAAAAATCGACCCGTTCCATTAAGGCACTTTATTATGCCGACACGACAATAAAATTAGAAGATTGAGCACACGTATTATTTTAAATGAATTAGTTCAAATTATTTTTATTGCTTAGCATACTGACATTATTCTATTGAAAGAAAGCGTTAAAATTATTGAATAATAACGTCAAATTATTACGTATGCTGGTACGACTTCCTTTGCAGTCGCTAGGTATAATGTAACATGAGTTATGACATTCTTTACTATTACCAAACACCATACGTGTGCTGTAAAAAAAATACTCGTTGTCTCTGACGTCGAGGTGAAAGTTGACTGGCTACATTGTTTACTTTAATACAATGATTTTTATTTCAATATCGTTTTTTAACTTATAAACCGAAAAATAGTAAGTACTGACGTAATTATTTATACTATTGTTCATCTTTCGGGTTCAAGTCACATAGGCTTTATAATGTGCCGACGTTTCATGAGCTTTGTATTTTGCTTCTTCAGGACAGATATCTATTCTTAGGTCTGAGTGAAACTATGTACCAACCTTTGGGTGTTTTATTCCCACCAACTATTAATACTGGTGGGTGGATAGGCAGTCCTTCCGGACTATATGGGAAAGCTCTCCTCATCTTTCTTTTAGGAGTCATGGAAATGGGTGGGTGAGATAGATGAGATGGATAAAATTAATACAGAGGAGAATCGAACATTATCTGTACATCAGCATTTGCCTAAGTGATCCAAGGAAGTCACAGAAAAACTTGGACTAGGTCTGACGGACCCGGAATCGAACCGGTGTCCTCTCGGATATTAAGCAATGGATTAAACCTCTAGGTCATGCCGTTCGGTTCATTGGAGAACCAGGTAGAAGATAATTACGAGCTGTTTTGCGACCTTTCGTTGGCTAGGTTTGCCAACTTCTTACTGGGTCACCGGTTCGATTCCAAGTTTTTTCTGGTTTCCCTGGATCTTGGACCACTTAAAAGTACTTGTGTTTCAATTTAACAGTAACATTTTCTAAGAACATGAGTTAAGGTTAGTTCTAATGAATCGAAATTCAAAATTCACGAAACGTCGGTAATAAGAGGGCAAGGTGAAGAGTTCTCGGTCTAGTATCAAGTAAAAATAACTTTTTTTATTATGAATTTCTTTGTCAATATTTTTTTCGACAATCGCAGCTTTTGGCCACCTTCACGTGGATCATCTGCTTCCGATATAGGAAGATGCTGACTCTTCATCAACTTTGGCTATAAACTATCTACCAAAATGAGGAAATTTTTTGATATTAATGAAATACCTAGTATTTTATTTACAACAATGCCATTTATGGGCAAAGCGCCGAGAATTATTCAACTTGACCTCGTATAATAACTACTGATCACCCTAAAAAAGTTTATAATTATTAAAGATTCTACATATAAAGAGTTTACCTTATCAGTGTCAGAAGAGCTCTTTCTGATTCTGTTAATTTGTCTTTTCTTGGAGTGGCATTCAGTTCACAAATTAGTTTCGGGAGGCAAGCAGTTTTTATCGTCTGAAGTATTTGGCTCCTTGTTGAAGGTGAAGGTCCTAGAAAGAATTTTTGTTGTGTAATTGTTGCATTCGTTATATATTAGGCATGTCGCAGTCATTATGAATTTCAATTCCATTTAGGCTGTTTTGAAAACAGTCTTTATTTCAACAATGGATAACTAAAATGTTTTTAATATACGGGTATGTTATCCTGTTGTATTTATTCATATCATTTCATTGGATTATATATGAATTTGAATTACTGTCAACTAACCAATTGTTATAACTTCATTTGTTGAAAAGCTTTTTTGTTTGTTTTGCGTTTCTACATCACAACTTTCTTTTATTATCGAAGTTTTTATTGATCCACATTTTTGTGTAGGAATAGTGAAACAATACAAGTGCTTACGTTAGTGAAATAATATTATAATGATAGTTATAAAGTTGCTTTCAGGTGTTAAATTACATTCTTTTGACCTTGCTAAACGAACGTATGCAGCTTTTGTTTACTTCCGATAGACAGATAAATTAAAATGAAATCGCTCGAGGAAGGAAGTTTGATATATTCTATAATGTAAAACGTGCACTGGGTTTAAACGAAAGAGAAAGTGGTTGGTTTGGTTACCCAGTGTGTAGAGTTAGTGCTACTTTTCAACTTATATAATTTCCGGTGCTGAGATGTGTGGCTCCATTTCATTTTATTACGTTATAGCAGAAATCAGTTGTTTAATACTTTTACTTTTTTTTACACAGTTCACAAAAGCGATACATCCATTCACTAAATGATTTCTTGCAACTAGAATCGAATTCTAATTTTAATTTAATAGATCATAATTTATTTTTTAAGTTTGGTACATAAAAGACTTTTTGGTATTTAATTTTAGAAGACTATTGTTATTAAAGCATTTATTAAAACTGCAAGTACAGTTAGATATGAGTATTCTAACTACAATTGCGCATAAATATTAGGTGAATTATAATTCGACTGTTTTTGGCATTAAAATTAATGGAGTCGTTTTTCAAATAACAGTAGTTTTATGCGTCGATTTGTTATTCTGTAAATAAGTAATTACAATAACGAGTGTTAAAAATAACTCCGTTTTAACGGAGATCAAGGTTCTTTAATTCCATTATAATACTTAATTATGAGAACTAATGGATATTTATATTTTACTTAACATTGGCCTTGAAATGGAATAATAACTATTTTGTAAACTTGTTCATTAACAAATGTTAATTGTTTTGGAATTCTTTATCGATAAGGTAAGGCAGACTTATTCTCACTGAAACGAAACATTAAAAGTTTGTCGTAAAAAAAAAACGTACTTAATTATCTTGATTTATTTATTATATGCAAATTTTTAGCATGGTATGTAAGTGGGTTTTATACCTGATTGAGGTGTTTGATACTAAGTACTTACGTAAAATAATAGGAGGTGTAAGTACGCTTTAGAAAGTTGAAGGTAAACAGGGTTCTATTACGTGCTCATGCGCCCTTATTAAATATTAACTGAAGCAATTTTTTTTTTTGATCTGAGTATATTATAGATGCAGGTAAGGCAAAATGTTCACCGAACAGAAATTACACATTTCCGAAAACGCAATTTGGTTACCGTATGGAATATGTTTTTTTGAAAAGATGGCTGAAGGTATTTGTACGAAATTTGGCATACATGTTGTATATGTAAGGCTTAACCTTTACGTTTTCATAAAATAAAGTAAAAAGTACTAACCAATATTATTAATTGTCTCTTCTTCGATATCTGCATCCAGATCTATCTCTGTTTTGCTGTCTCCATATCCTGGATTTGAAGGTTTCGGGGGTAATCTATGCTGTGATGAGTTAGGCTGTGCCCTGTCACCTCCTAGTAGGATACCGACGAGGCCTGTATAGTCCCTCAACAAAATAACTATTACACAAAATATAAATACAATTCGAACCACAATTTTCCTTATTGTTGTCATTGTCTATATAAGTTTGTTGTTCACTTTACTCAATAGGGAACCATCTTGCGACTGAGTTGTAGTAAGTTCTTGCTTAACTTACAATTCACCAATCCCCGCTCCTTAAATAATTCCAATGACAGTGAAAGTGAAATATAAAATCAACGATATAGTTTCAACGAAATTCGGATAGGTATACACGTTGTTTTAGTTTACTAACTTAACAAACATACAGCCTTGAGCCGATTTTTTTTAATTGCATGTGAAAAAATGTACTTTCTTTCCTCTAACTGCTTCGTACTTTTCAATTTGAAAGAAAAGCTGTAAAAAAAAGTTTATCTAATTACAGAAAGCTTCGATTCGTAAATATTTGCTTAATATAAAATTAGAAAGTAATTCTGTAAACTCGTATAAAATTTGGCTGTTGTGCATTACCGACTTTGCGACCTCCTATGTGTTGCTGTTTAGTATTAAAAGTTGCTGATCGTAATATAACCTTGACTTACCTATCGTTCCCGTCCTCTTGCAGTTCAGTACGTGTAATAAAGCGCTTTTTCCTTTCGTAAATCGTGAGAAAGACACGTTATAGATCTGACATTATTATGAATTTGCTACGGCGAATCGTGACACAAACTTATTAATTAACATCTATTTGTTTGACACACACATCATTGTATATTTGTACAGGCAGGTAGGTACTTTAAATTAATTGGAATACATGGGGGTTCTGCCTATTATAAATGACACAATTTCCGTTAAAATTACCTAAAAATATTCGTTAGGTATGACGAGCCGGAAGCCATCAATAGACTTTTCTTTTACAACAAAATTTTCTGAATTATTTAGCAATTAATTTCAGTTTAATAAAACCAATAAATATACACATTTATTTATAAAAGTAATGGATGGTAACTAAATGTGTACTTTATTAGTTAGTAATAGTTAAGTGGCTTTTTTGAAAAAGTAATAACTGATTGATGATAGTAGGTACGTATCATTAAGTATTCTTCGTGAGTTGCTAGATTGTATCACAATAAACAGTTATTACCATACCCATGGCTTATCGCACAATCACCGCATTGTTTGTATTAGAAAATGCATTAATGTTAAAATAATTGAGATGACCGATGCGAATGGTCAAGTGCTATATGTAAAGATATTATTATTGATACGGTAAGTTGTTTGATGTATGCTGATTTTGAAACCCCAATTGAAAGCAAACAAAGACCTGCGTGAATTTAATCACCATGTGCTTCCAAGTAATCAGTTACAGTAATTAGAGAAAATTATCTCACAAAGAGATGTTCCGGTATCTACTACGAATTTTTCGCCCAATGAACTAATATTATATATGAAAAGAGGAACATTAAGATATTTTTGAAGTCCTTGCAACTGTATCTCTCTAAAAATCATCATCCTAAGATCGTCAGTCCTAAGGCTGGTTGGACACGCACCTCCACTCTTTCCTATCCTGAGCTAATCTTCATATTTCCCTAAAACTAGAACATCCCACTTCCTTAACTATTTCCAAACAGTAATCTAATCTTGTTATACATCTACCCCTCATAACTCCCGTTTCTGCCTCTAATATGTCTGACTAGACCTTCATGCCTGAGAAGGCTTCCATAGTCCTCTGTTCTCCTATTCTTTTGGACATTTGACATTTGTATGATCCCCCGCTCCTAGTGTGACCCTCTGAGGGGGGGGGTAAGACGATAAATAGAGGATATAAATTACAGGTAAAATAAATGTGATTTATACAATTTTAGTCTCTTTATTACCTATAACGCATAAATCGACAAATTCTGTATCCTGAACAGTCGAGCCAGAGACAGTGATCGTTCTACCGTGCTGTTGAAAAGAATTCAGCATTTTTGGTGGCGGTTATGGACATCTGAATGAGGGGTCCTAGGTCCTTTCTGTCAAATCTCTAATTACTTTGACTTTGATAGCAAACAATTTCAGATGTGACGAATTAGTTTGTGCGCGGAATTTCCCTCTGGAATTGCATTCCATTTGGGTAGCATATTGAAATTTATCAGCGACGATCAGCCAGCCAAAGCGATAGCCGGGTTCAGAATTGATTTATCTGTTCCATCACAGCTCTCTGTGTGACGGTATTTGTGCTATGCGTTGCCGACCGGCTGTTAGAACTCAGGTGTTGCTATTAATTATGATTTTTATTAGTTCACCCGCTTCATGTGCAAACGCACTACATGTATGTATGTATATGTATGCATCAATATAAGCGAATATACGTCACGTAGTAACACACAAATGTGTTTGTACAGTACGTAAATGCATTTAAATTGGTAATAGCTTTCCGATATGTCCACAGGTTTACACCAGATATCTCCATACGCACCTGCAGTCCCAAAAAATTCACTTTGTTCACTACAATTCAACTGATTTTCTATGCATACGTGTTTTTAACTAGTTAAGCACACCATTTTGAGCAGAGTGATACAAAAAGCATAGGATTTATTACATAATTAGTTAGGTATGAAAAGTGAATTTAGTTTAATATGTTTTTTATCTATTCAGAATCAGCAAAATGAGTAAACTGTTGAAAAAATTAATGACACTAGTCTAACTTCTATAGTGCTTCGTTTTTTGTATTACGGATCTTGAAATATTGCTTATAAAAAGTGTTCAGCTACAAATATATATTTTGAGTTCAGTATGGCTCAAAAACTGTCCTTTTTTCGTAATTTTCATACAACAATCAACCTTTAACACTTTAAAACAATCACAAACGTAACATTATATGTGTTTGGAAGATTGGATCTGGTCTGGCGGGCGTCAGGAATCATTTCCCGAATGATGCACTGTACCTTCTTTTATTTTTTACTTGCCTTAACGGCTACATACGCAAGTGATTTTTATTTTTAATCGATTTAATTTTTCACTCATTTATTCATTTTATAGTAAATACCGAAAAACTGTATCAGAAAGTGATTCAAATCTAAAACAATGTAGACTAATTCGCTTTATTCTTTTGATGGGTCCTGTTATCTTAAGTGTTGAAATGCTAGTCCGGATTTTTCTAAAATTCAAATTTTGACTTGAACGGAGTGTTATCGTGTATATAATCAGGCAGATAAAGAGGTGCGTATCGTGTTTCTAATAAATTAATCCGTGAAAATTTGGACGCTCAACGGCATACGTAGTTGAAAGAATAAGCGAGAAGATTAATAACGTGGAATTGAATCGAAAATATTACCCATCCCATCGGTATTCATAGCCGCCACATAATATCGTATGCACTGGCTTGGCCGAGTTGATACACAGACGCCACAATTTGCTATGCGTGTAAATAAAAGACAGTGTAATCAATCATTCTCGTCCTGGAGCGATTACCCTGTCTACCCCTTTCCTCTTCCAGCCATATCGTTTGGACCCTTGTATCACAAACATGGTTAACTAATACCATGACGAAAAATGAAGCAAATTTACAGATTTCCATTTGCTCATACTAATGCGCATGAGTTCTATCTTTCTTCACATTATATACATAGTTTTCCAAAATACGAAAAATTCTCATGTTATTATTGTACATCATACTTCAATCTGATGTATTATTGATGAATAGTAATCATTTTCTCATGTAAAGGGATAGCAATTATCCTTTAATTCCAAACATGCCTACTGGGTTTAAGAATTTGGAAAAATATCCTTTTCGTAATTTATGGATAATGATGAGCAAAATCGTGATTATTTTTGCTCATTACTATTTATGAGCGATCCTTAAGGATTTGTTAGACTGTGTAAGACGTAGTCTTGCTCTTGGTCCTGTTCATTTAGCCTTGATTTTGTTCATATGAGCATAACTACATTTTGACCTTAATTTTGGTTTTCCTAAATGTGGAAGGCCAAAATAAGACAAGACAAGAGAAAATTGCAAAACCATAACAATTTTCACTCATCACTACTTATGATTGATCCTTAAGGAGCTGATTGTAAGTCGTATAGTCTGGCTCTTGGTCCTGTTCAGTTAGTCTCGATTTCGTTCGTACCAACATCTGCAGGCGAATTTTGGTCTTCATTTTGGTCTTGCTAAATCTGCAAGATTAGACAAGTCAAAACAACAAGACCAGGATTATTTTCGCTCATCAATATTTATGAACGACCCTTAAGGAGGTGACAGACTGTGTAAGACGTCGGGCAATTATTTTGATCGGTCTGTCTAGCGTTAGCACGTTCTATTTTTGTTTTATTTACTTGCGTAGACAAACAGGGAATAGTAATTGTGTTCATCCATATTTTACGTGGGCCTATATTTTCCTTAAATCTACTGTGAATAGTGTCGCCATGTATGTTGCACAATGAACCGACATATGAACTACTTATTAATGTTGAGGGCATCATATTTTTCAATGAACACGTCATAATAATTAGAATCTACAGGGGATATAAGAGGCTTATGGTCGCGATATATGATCAAATAGCGAACTGATTTTCGCAGAAGAACATCTCTAGCAAGTAAGTATCCCTGTCTTTCTACTGCGCATCTATTTTGTAATTTTGGTTGTTGTTATTACGAGACATTTAAGTTAATGTGTTGTAGTGTGCGATATACAGGGTGTAATAAATCTAGTGTATGCGCGACGTGTTTTACTGAAACTAGAAATGTTAGACAATAACATTTAGAAGTTTCAGCGTGAAGTAATGGGGATGATTGCGGCGTACAAATAAATTTTTGAATTCATTTATCATAAAAAAAGGAAATATTAAAAAAAGGATTTCTTTCGTTGGATCTAGTTCGCTCTATTACCTTCAAATTTACACATTTAATAACAAAGATTTCGGTATTTTATTAAATGATAAGAAACATGAAAAAAAAAATGTTTAACACCCTGCATACGCATGTAAGTACGTATTTGTTTTATGCAACGCATTATGTTTGTAGGTATGAATCTTCGATTGTTATTACTATATTTATGTGTTATATGCGCCAACGTTCTTTGTAATACTCATTATTCTTCGTCTGATGAAAGGAAAAAGTATTGTGGTAATACTTTAACCAATGCACTTGCTCTAGCATGTAGAGGACTATACAATGGATTGATCACCAAAAGAGACAGTGAGAATCTTATGACGATATCACGTCAGGACATTAAAAAAAATCAATTTTT